TCCTAAGTAACATTAATCTTTGCAATCAAACCAATTTGACAGGTCCTTACTGATACTGAAAAAAGCCAAAGGTCCTATGTAACAAAACCACGAATTTAACCTGAAAATTATGAATAAAACGAAAAAACATACACTTCAGTCGAATTCTATGTGTTTCTTATGCTTTTGAGAAAACAAAAGATTATCGTTTTATGTCGTAATTAAAAATGGCATTTAAAAATATATTGCAAAAATTCAAATCAATTTTTCTCCAATCAGCTTCAATGACAGATAGGACCTTTTGAAATGTTTGTCTAGAAATAAAAGCACGCGGAGCAAAAACCCACAACCGTTCTCCAACGCTTCTCAAAGCGGACTTACGGACGGATTACTTTAGACGTCAAGTTCTCGAGAATAAAAAGTCACACTTGTAAATTTACTATACTATCAAATAGAGGAATGTTTCCTCCACCAGCTGGTATAGTTAGTTTGCAAGGAGTGAGCTTTTATTTGCGAAAAATCGGCCGTTGAAGACATTGTTTTTAAAAGCAGTTTCGCCCTAATCAAATGTTGGCCAAGGATTTTCTTTTGAAGGCGCCAAACTTGGGTAGTGAACCGTATCACCAGTTCATCAGAGTGTCAATCAGTGTGATGAATTTACTCGTGAATTTATAACAAGATGCAAAAACAAATATTCACATACACACACATACGCATATCAAGCAATAATATTTTGCATTTTCAAAGCAAGCTTCGTAACGTTTCCTAAATTTCTTAACATTAAAATAATAATTTTGGTTCTGCAAACTGACGGTTATTTTATGAAACCGACGAAAAATCATCACCAGGACGAAGCTGACAGAACGAACTGACAATGGTGCTACAAGGATTGCTAACGTTTGCTTCCTCACTGGTTTTTGGTGCTGTCGCCCTCGTAGGTATTTGCTATACTGTTAATTACGTCCACAATCGCCTTCACTACGAGGAACCTGTGCGACCGCCTCGGAGCAACCAATCGTCTTCTAAATGGAACGGATATGATAACTTTGAATTGTAAGAAACCCCATCTTTAAAAGAATGACGGTATTTATTAATGCATTTTTGTTTCATTGCAGAATCACTTGCACGATTTGCTTAACCCCAATTGAGCCGAAATCCAAGAGGCAATTGCCTTGTGGTCATCAGTTCCACGAAAGCTGCATCGCTGGCTGGGTTAGCCTAACGAACCAATGCCCAAATTGCAGAAAAACAATTGCTTCTTGAATCAGAATCTAGCGGGTGTAAAACTAATCCGTTCACTAATACTTCTCTTCTACTTGATAAACGTTAGTTGGATTTGATACAGCGAATTACCGATATGATTGAAAATAAGCTTCGAGCTGAAGCAAGATATACTAAATAAATACGAAACCATAATATTATAGTAGAGTTGAATGGGAATTAAATTTCTTTCCTTTTCGCTTTAGTTATTATAGGCCTTCGATAGGAATTAATAATTAAATTAGGCTTGTGATTATGAGTAATAAAGCATAAAATTACATTAGAAAATGTCTATATTCACTTGTTAGAGAAGGGAATCCGTTGAAATAATTCATCTCTGTTGAATTCAAAGCATCATTCTGTTTTGGAAGAAAGGCATTCATAAAGTACGATGCGATGATTGTACCATTACCCAGAATCCATTGACCATTTTGAAAAGTTAATGATTTTAGTATTCTTTTCGTAATTAAATATTCGAAGAAGGGAATATTTCCTTTACTAATATTCTCTATTATGTTTTAAAAGAAGGAAGTAATCTAATTTTTTTATGCTTTATTATAGATTTTTAGCCGTAGGCTAGTTCATCTCTTAAATTACCCCGAATGTCACGTCCCCGACCGGTCTTCATTTGATTACTGTTCATTCTTTTAACATCATTACCGCTGGGTAGAATGAGCAGTAATCAAATGAAGACCGGCGCGGACGTGACATTCGGGGTAATTTAAGAGATGAAGTAGCCTACGGCTAAAAATCTCTATAATAAAGCATAAAAAAATTCGGGGTATTGCACAAAGCACAACCCATTATTGTAGTCATAAATTGACTAGTCAAGTTTTTATCACTAAAATTAATCACTTAATCAGGGCTGCCTTTCTAAACATGCTTTTTTCAAATGACTTTATCTATGTTCGATGAACATGTTTCAGGCTGCATTTTATTTCTTTCTCATCCATTCTGAATAATATTTTTTGTAGTAAACACAGTGGCAGCACGCCTACCAACACCACTAGCAGGTAGAGGAAAATTTCCCCTATCTGATGATAGTGCTAGCATGCGTGGACGAGCCACCAGTTACGCCAAATCGAAGATCAAACGCACCGCCTACAAAAGCCGATACGTTCCCTTGAAAAAGTTATCGAGAATTCTACTAATTAATGAATTATTGACAATTACCTACATCATGATCCTTGGCTCCACTATGATTTTAACTTACCACTTTTTGATTATTTATCAAATACCTCTCCGAGTATATAACTTTTTTTTTTTTTTTTAATTCTTTATTTAAGAGATTTTTAGCCTTAGGCTAGTTCATCTCTACTGAGTATATAACGCTCCGATGCCTTGTTGGCTTCTGGTCTCATTTGGATTGGTCCTGAATTTGTTTGATATCCTGTTCAAAGTAATTCTATTCCTTCTCCTTAGTCCATTGAAATCACGTTATTTCTTTGAGTTCCAGCTCCATATGATTCGCCATTCATAAAGATAATGGGTTAAAATGGAGTAAAACATACATAAAGGTAGATTAGTATTAGTTGTACTTGATCCAAACAATAGAAAGAAGCATAGATAAATTAGTAGGAAAATAAAACTTATATATAACTAAAAGTGCAATGGATGAGTGTTAGTTCCGGGATCATTTTAGTGTTAAGAGTAATGTTAGTTTTGATCCGTCCCTGATCAGTCCCTCCAGCACTATTTACAGCAATTGTGATAAGACTATGTGACACTGCTACTACTACTACTATGTTAGATGTATGACTTGTCAATTTTCGCTAGAGAAGAATACTGTTTTCTAACGCAACGCAATGTTTCAATGAAGGTGTCTTTCAATAAATCACTCAATTAGATTTTTGAAAATTTGCTCAAAAAGGTTTAGTTGACACATCATACCTTACCGAAAACTAAAGCACAACAATCCTAATTCTTATTTCAAACCTACCAACATATTTAACACATCTTTCCTAAAACTTCACTTATTCGTAAAGCCTGATTGAAGATATGACTTTTGCTATTGACATTGCCTGTAATTAACAAATATATTGAATAGGAAGATTTATTATACAACTTCAAAAGCTAGTCGTCTCCCTAAGCGGGTCCCCCGCGTCCTATCTTCTATGTTAATTGACTTTCTGAATTATCTTATTGAAGTTCATTTGATGATTATTTAGTCTTATTTAATAAATAACTAAAATCTCGAATCTACCCACACTATCATAACTCATGCTTGTAAACTAAAATTAAATGTGTTTCAAGTACTTCTGGCTTTGACATATATTAATTATATCTTTGTTCGTCCCAAGTGACACCTTCAAGTGACTAAAATGCTTCACTTTGAAGTTAGTTTCCTAGCTAATTTTAAATTGTATATTGTATAGGGTATATGTGCCAATTACGCTCTCACGTTTCCACTATGTCGCACCACAAAAATACATATGGGTATGTCACAATAGAAGCACACCACAGTGGAAATCCCGCATCATAGTACAAACCCTCCCAAATTAAAAATGAAGCACATCCCAACTTAAAAATGCAGCACATATAAGATTAGTTACAATCCCATGTACACAAATGGTGTTTAACGTTGTTCCCTGAGTAATGCTTCAATGAAAACAACAATGAAAGCTTGTCACGCAAGTAGAAGGAGCGCTGTTGGGCACTTTCTGAAATATGTCAATAGTATAATTACCTTGCAACCCCAAATAAATCTATCTGCGTAGAAAAATAAGAGTGATTTGCGGCAAAACCCGCCAGTATCACACCCAACGTCAGTGCCTATACGTAAGCGTACAACGACGCGGCTCTCAATCAAAGGAGTAACAAGTGTGATACTATCACTGCTAGACTAGATCTTTGGTTCTCTCATGCAGTGGTTTATCAGAGAGGGGAAGCTTAGTAATCCCCATTGCCTGCCCATGACGCCATTCTATCGCGGCATGAGCCAGCAACGCCGGCCATAAACTTACCGTCTCCAACACTCCACTATAAAGTATGAAATTAGGCCCGCCCACCAACAGCAAGGTGCTAAAACTAGCCAAGGGGAGGGTCATCCATTCTGAATAATATTGGACTAAAATGGTTTCATTGCTGAGATCCAGAGACCACGTCCGGGACACGTTGGGCTGCGCTGCACTAAGGGTATGCACATGTTTACACGACTCGGAAGTTACGTTTTATTATGTCAATTTGAGATTTGTGAAAAAATAGAATATTAAGGCCTATTCAGCGTCACGAGTGAGGTGACTCTCCATTTGATTTGCACGGTGAGGTGTCGCGGTAACTTTTGTCACCTCACCTCACTCGCGGTGCAGAATAAGGGGTTACTTTCCGGGAAACAGTCCCCCTTATCTGTGAGGTGAGGTGACATGCTGTCACAGGTGAGGTGCAAAAACTCAAGTGGAATTTCACTTCGCTCGCGGTGAATATTGTCACCTCACAGCGAGTAACCTCATCTCACTCGCGGCGCAGAATAGGCCTCAATACGTTCCAGGAAATAGTTTTCTGAGGAACGGTACATTCCAGGAAATGACGTACAATTACAAACCTGATCTTGATGGCACTTTTTGGGACCTTATCCACGACGGCATTTAGTTGACTGTAGAAATTTGTAATACATGGCCGGTCACAAATTCTGAATGCAACGTCATTTATGTTCCCTAATCAGCATCAATGTTTATCAAGGAAAGAAACGTCGCAAAAGTTGTATAGGCTTTCTTTCGCTAATAATTGAACAAGCTACCAGCTTTAAACTCACACATGTAATTACTTTACCTAGTCAAAAGAATAACAAACTTTCCCTCATTCAGAGCCAACAGCAACTGGGGTCAAGTTTATCAAACTGCTGCTATTTTCCGCGAGTTCCGTAATCGAAACTCTGCCGCGTTGTTTGATAAACTTTGCAACAGCATTGAGCTCCTCTTCAGAAATGTAGATAAATTTCCCTCGGTCATCAATCACACCGCTAAGCCGTCCTTCCTTTTGCAGATCAACAATCCTGTCGATGGCCGCCTGAGTTTTGAGTTTAAACTGGACGGCTAAATCTTCCAGAACAACAACCTTGTTATTCTAAAAACAGAGAAAATAGATTCATATAATCGATATTGCCAAAAAACAATAGCATCAGTTCGACATACTTTTACAAAATTAATAAACTCCTGCACCATGTTTTGTTTGCCAACTTCTTCCTCGTGATCGAATCCTTCTTCTTCTACGCTAAATGCTTCCTTCATTTTGAGATACTCTTCGTGCTCTTTCCTTTCCCTTTCTTCACGAGCCTTCCTTTCGACCTCTTCTTTTTTTCGTTCCTCTTCGGCTTCCTTATCTTCCTGTTGCTTACGTTCTTCTTCGGCCAGTGCATCTATTTTCTTCTGGTCTTCTCGCATTTTTAACTCCTGTTCCCTTTGAGCTTTCTTTTCGGCCTTAGCTTCAAGTTTGGCTCGCTTTTTGGCTCCCATTTTTTCAGCGCCCAAGTCCTGAGCTGCGTGTGGGATTTCATCATCATCGTCGTCTTGGTCAGCCGCGACTTGCTCTTCTGGTGCTGCCGCTACTACCCTAGCACGATTACGCTGGTTTCGGACCACCTGCGCACGACGTGGAGCATTAGCTTCGCGTTCATTTTGCACCTGCTCTGCACCTGGGTCAATAGAAATATTAACAATAAAAAAAGATGATTTCCAATGTTCAAAGCTTATTATTGAAACTTACCCGTCTGAGATTTGGTCTTGCCTTTTGAAAGAAATAATAGTGTCAATAAAACTACTAATAATGCAACAGCAATTCCGATGAGCAGATATAAATCCATCTTGAAAGTTCGAAGGATCACAAAATAATGCAAATTTCTACGTAAAACTCCAACTCTCAGGATTCGTGTCGTGTCAATATTTTGAAAATGTATCGATCATTTCCATAATTCTCGCGTCACTTTTCAAATAGACCAATCTACATTGATCGATTCTCCTCATCGACTCTCTCTTTCGTTAATAACTCGGCTACAAAAACGTCTCCTTTCGTCTTTGTCATATTAGATGCTATTGTTGCTTCTTTCATCAACTGTGTGTCGAAAATATTGCTGATTGCATCTGAAACTGGACTGTACCAAAAATGCAAAAAGTGCACGTTTCCGTCAAATCGTTTTGATGCTTTCGGAGCACTTACTGCTTGCATCATACACGGAATTTGAGTTCTTTTTACATAATATTGACTTCAGCCTCTCACTTGCACTCGTTATTGTTGTCAAAAAAGGAACAAGAGATTCGATCCAACGATATAGTTCAGCCCAATAAGTTACTTCTGAGTAAATTGCATATTCTCAAATTTACGTGAATTAAACTTAATTTTGGGTAGAATATACTTAAGAGCAGGTAATTTTTTTGCTGGTGTTAAATGGAAACTACTATATGCGATTAACTCAAATTTGAGTTATTATGCTGAACCCCGGAATTTAGGGAAAAGTACTTAATTTTGGGTAGTTTTTCATCTCCGTGTAAGGAATAAGTGCACCGAAGACACCAATGGCGGTAAGCTCCAACTCGGATTAACTTTTAATACCGTCCCTGTTTGTATGATCTGAAAAATGTTTGCTCAGAGTTATGTTGATTAACTCTGATGTCAACATCAAACCAGCCGGACATTCTTGATCGGGATTTAATCCGAGGATAATACCGGTTGGAGCTTACCACCACAAGACGATTAGACGTAAACTTGTAGTTTTATCACACTTTTTAATAAGTGAAAATGCGCTTATTAGTCCAATTTGGTGTGAAACGCGCAATATAGGGGAAATGTAGGTAATGTCGGCCTACATGTCCCTAATTTGGGCCCATCGCTAAAAGTCTGTTATTTATCAATTTTATCTAGATGATATGGATATTTTTGGTTGCTATTGAAAATTTGGTTGATTGCTGAATGTATGTATGGGCCCAAATTAGGGACACTTACCTGCATTTCCCCTACATAATATACATATTATACATTATCATAAAATACATATTATCTTCTTTCTTTCCTTTATTTAACGTCGGTCTCTGTTCCGCAATCTAGTGCCAATCACCCCAATCACCGACGTACATCGATTGTCATCCATTGACGGCAATAGAATGTGCAGGAAGGCAGCTTCCACACCTACGTAGGATATAGAACCAGATAGAATCCATTCAACATACATGGGCCGGGACCAACTGCTTTGCTTCCCTTCCGAAGGAAGACGTGACCAGAGATTTGTATGCCTCAGAACAGAAAAATCCCACCGACCTCAACTGGGATTGAACCCAGACCCATTGGGGTGAGAAGCAGTCACACTTACCACTACACCACCGGCGCCGGCTCAAATACATATCAAGAGCAAATTTTCATTACGTCGAATGTAACAAAGGTAAACAAAGTCGAGCTATCAGTGTCAATCGATTCTCCTCCCGCATAAGCGCGAACCATAAATTGACCTTACCTAAAATGGTTATAAATTGTTTATAATCCCTGTTAAACTTCAACTGAAATGGTTATGGAACTTTACATGAACGTTTAATGATAAAGTTTTAACCTTAAGTATTATAGTTTTTTGGAAGTGGACCTTACAAATAATGGGTTGTTAAGAACCATTACCATTCAAAATTCTTGTTTTCTCCATACATTTTCGGAAAGAAAACTATACTTAAACCTTTTAACTTATGGTTTGAGAACATTAATGGTAATGATTATGGTAACCAGTAAGGTCCATGAATGGTTTTGTAACATCTATCAACTTTATGTGGAATATATCGCGAATTGGTTGCCTGTAAATTACTGATTACCAATTCACGATATATTTCACGTAAAGTTGAGCGATAATACAAAACCATTAATGGACCTTACTGACTACCATAACCATAACCATTAATGTTCTCAAACCATAAGTAAAAACGTTCTAATATAGTTCTCTTTCCGAAAATGTATGGAGAAAACAAGAATTTGGAATGGTAATGGTTCTTAACAACCCATTATTTGTAAGGTCCGCTTCCAAAAACCATAATACATAAGGTTAAAACTTTATCACACAAACGTTCATGTAAAGTTCCATAACCATTTCAGTTGAAGTTTAGCAGGGATTATAAACAATTTATAACCATTATCGGTAAGGTCATGTGATGGTTCGCGTTTATGCGGGGCTGCTATTACACTATGGGCCGTATGAATAAAAAGAGTTTACTTTACTTTCCCGTGCTATTCTTACGGGAAAAGTAAAGTAAACGCTTTTATTCATACGACCTTATATATCATACAACAAGAGCAAATTTTAATTACGTCGTAAGTAACATTCGCACCGATCCGAGAAAAATAAAGTTTTGTTTTGATGACCGAAAAGTTATTCCTATTTCCAATTAAACACATATAATCTCATAGTGATAGCAATGTTTAACATATTTAGCCGGGTTTTAATGATACAAAGGCAAATCGCTAGCTTTCATGCTAAGAAATACTGGTGTTTGAGTCAAAAGCTATTATACGTCGTTTGGTGGCCCCTATTGTTACTTAAGTCAAAGTGTATTTACCAGGATATTCGGGAGAATTATCAATTACGTCTCCTTACGTGCAGCCTATTCATCATTTTAGGACCACCGAAATCATCTTAGCAACAAACAGTTCGATTTATTCACTTTAATAATGAGAAAGCGAAACGACGAAAGTACACTTTTCACGGGTTTCTCAGTGCTGTTACTTAAGGCAAACGGCATCTCCATAGAAATCGGGTGACTTAAGTAACATCGAAAACTATTTTGATCGGAAGGTGATTACGTCAAAAAGCAATTCGACTGGTAAATAAATTTAAAAATGGGATGTGATCCTATATTCGGACAGTATATAGTGTAATAGCAGGAGCATCGATTGACACTGATAGCTCGACTTCGTTTACCTTTGTTACATTCGACGTAATGAAAATTTGCTCTTGACATAGACGAGTGCACGGGTGAACTTTTGTTCATCTACTGAAAAAAAATTGACACAATTGATCAGTTCACGAAGATTTGCCGCACTCTTCTCTCACCCGTAAGTTTTGACAGTTTTGGGTGGTTTGTTTTGGCTCCCATTCGTTGCTATCTCTTTTACTCAGAAGCAAAATGATAGGGAGCAAAAAGTGAGGTTAGGGACCGTGCACTGATCTATTAGGTTCTGCAGCGTGACGTCACAAATGAACTCAGTGTTAATTATAGTCGCTATATTCATAGTCTGGCGGATAGAATTTCGATCTATCAAAAAGTGGAACCAATTCAATATATTTTAGACCAACAATGGAAAAGGTACTATCAACATTTATAAACAAACGTAAATTATTCTTTCTACGCCAATCGAACGCAAACTACCGGCATCACCGGATAAGGGAAACTTTCCACAACCCAAAGATGATATTAGTTTGCGTAGGCGAGCTTTGAGTCACGAGAAAATAGTTTCCGACGTTTTGTTCGCAATAGCTGATGTGCTCTTTTCTGTTGTTAGTCGTGATTTGCTCAATTGGTTCCGCTATTTGACAGCTCAATTGGTTCCCGAGATTCTATCCGCCAGACTATGAATATAGCGACTATAAGTGTTAATAGGCTGAACCTTTTTGACAGTTCAGTGGTACTGTTTACAAGCACTTAGTCGTTTTTTCGAAAAAAAATTTCTAAAGTTTCTGAATTTTAACTTGAAAATTGTCGAGGAACAGCGCGTTGCAAGGATGTTGCTCGTGAACATTGCAGAAATGCTGTGTACATCTCACTGCAGTCTGAAAAATTATCGAAAAAATCCACCCAAGAAAAAATCGACTAAGTCCACGTAAACAGTACCACTGAACTGTCATCAGATTGAGGTTAACCCCGACGGTGCAAAACCTAATAGCGGGGCCCTGTTTACTAAAAATGAACACATGAACACGTGTAACATTTGAAAAGGGCCTATCAACTTTTGTAAATAATTTGCTAGGTCTTTTTCACGAGAACCGAAGTACGTCCACGCGAACCAAGAGCACTATCGGGAAGGGGAGAATTTCCCCAACCCGATGGTGCTGTTAGTTTGCGTGAGAGTATTCGGTTCGCGCGAAAAAGGCTTAACAAGTTTTGTGTTCAAAAGTTGATAGGCCCGTTTCAAATGTTACGTGAGTATTATTCATGTGTTCATTTTTAGTAAACAGGGCCCCGCTGTTGTGTCACTTTTCGTCAAGTGAGTGAACTCAAATCCATCCGTGCACTCGTCTATGTGCACGGCCGTGGCGATTCAAATACAAAATCGATCAATGTAGATAGGACCTATTGAAAAGAGATGCGAGAATTTTAGATTCCCAGACTTGACAACCTGCACGGTAAGAAAAAAAGTCTTACTTTTACCTGCACGGTAAACGCCAAATACCCAATAATGACTATAAGAGACTCGATATTGACTAAAGTAAGCATTTTCGAAGGAGACTAGGACTACCCATTAAATAAATAAAATATTACCCATTTATGAGTATTTGTTACTCAAAAATGAATACTTATTACTTATTTTTGTAGTTGTAATTACTCATAAATGGGTTATATTTTACTCATTTAATGGGTAGTCCCAGTTTCCCTCGAAAATGTTTACTTTGTCGTCATTATTGGGTAATTTTCGGTTACCGTGCAACTTTTGACTAGTTTGTTTCCTTTTCTCCTTCTAATGGAGGAGCAAACCCAGCAAAACCATCCGACAGGGGTAGTAAAGTGTGGGAACCCAACGTTGAGTATTAGGTTTTGCACCGTCGGGGTTAACCTCAATCTGATGACAGTTCAGTGGTACTGTTTACGTGGACTTAGTCGATTTTTTCCAACTCCCCGGCAAGGTGACAGATAATCTTAGTTTCACGTACACGCTAACTTGAAAGTATCCAT